GGATTTGGCAGCAGGAGGGTACATTCGAGGCGCTTGCAAAAGCAAACAAATGTACTACAGGAACAAGGGCATCGCTACTAGTAACAAGGGCATTACTACTAGTGGCGTCTCTAGCTGCTAGTAGTAATACCCTTGTTACTAGTAGCGATGTCTTTGTTACTAGTTGCTTCTAGCTACTAGTAACAAAGGTACCTCCCATGCGGAGCTTGTGCGATGTTTCTCGAGCTTGTGCGCTCCGCTGGGCGCCAGGCTTCTTGACCGAAAGTATGCACGCCGCATGTATCTCTGCGGATTGGTCCAGGTCTGTGCAACATGACGATTATGGTGAAAGTGATGGAAAGATATGGAACGATCTGGTTTTGGAGATGTGTTTGTGTGGCCACGATGTGTTGTTATATTGGTGCCACCATGTGGAGGTGCCAACTACTAGCTGCGGGCGATGCATTGGAGCTCTTTGACATCGATCTTGGGCAACGCTTGTGGTGTTTGAGGCCGCATGGCCAGGTTAAGGCCCGTGCCTCAGAAGAACGAACCCGCTACTATCGCGAGCCCGCTCACCATCAAAGCGATATACCCATTGCATGACATGAAGACATGACGAGAAAAAACCGCGGGTGCAAGAACTGCACTCCGAACGGCATGCTCATCTCAACAAATCGAGAGATTTGGGTTTGGCGCGTCATGAATGCGGGTGTTGTTTCAGGTCCTGGCAGTGGAGTGGCCGGCGCAGATGGCGATCACATGCACCGGTGATCGAATCCAAGCGTGGCACTTGGAGTCTCAAGAATGCACCCAGGACGCATTCTTGGCTTGTATTGGCCGTGTAGTTGTTCTCGTGAAAGGGTGATCACTCACATTCGGCAAGTGCTTCTATGTATGTGTTTGTCAAAGTTGTGAAGGAGCTCCAACATCATGGTCAAATACATCAGCTCTCGATGGACTGGGAGCATCAATCAAAAATGCTTAGTAAGCGGCAACAATTACAGTTGTGAGGTAACGTGTGTGTGTTTCTGGGTTGCGCTCTCGCATGACCTGTGCGACACACGAGTTAGCACATATCTTTAAAGGCCCAGATGGAACTAGCTGCACCACATGGAACCAGCGCTGTCGTGCAGGACTGGCCAGGAAACCGATGTTGAGCCGCAGGCCGCACATCGCAGTCCCGCACATTCAGCGATACCATGGCGGATGCGGATGCCATGTCCTAGGTATTTGTGGCGAAGGCTTGTACAGCTGGATGTGGGACCTTCAGGAGTGATCACTCAGATTGGGCCGAGCTCTCATGGAATTTAAGTAGTTGGGTATTTAATTTTCGTTAATGTTGGGAATTAGAAAGCTACTAGGAGCAAAGGACTCTACTAGGGGCTTTTTCGGAATTCGATCCATTTGGCTCTGGAATGGCCGATCCATTCCACCGCACCCCTTCCACGTGCCGACCCGGTGCACACCGTTAGGACTGGCAGCTGGTTCAAAAGGCGTTGATCACATCAACGCCTTCCCGGTGTGTCATCAGCTGAAGCACACTGAAAGAAACTAGCTTTGAAGCCTGCAGCCAACTGAATCATAAGGTGTCTTTAATTGCTTCTAATGCTGAAATGCGAGGTGTCGCTGAATGTGTCCAGATCCGCGTGCCTTTATGCTTATCAGTGTCCTGAGCCTGCTCCTTAGAAGCTGGCAGAGAGAGGGGAATAAGATAGGAATTGGATGGAATCGGAATATGATGAAATATGTGTCTCACACGTCCGAGGGATGAGGATGAGATGGGGGAGTCCTTGATAGTCTTCGACCTGGTCGAGGGGCGCGAGGTTGTGCAATTGATTGGACACACTGACCATGTCATGTGCGGTTCCATGTCCTGACTGGCAAGTGCCATTTGTGTGTTGCCCTCCAGCCTGCAAAAGTAGGAGTTTCAGGGAGGTGTTAAATGTACAAAGTCGTGGATTGCACAGTTTGCGCTTGGCCAAAGGTGGAAGTCCTGAGTCATGTGTATGCAGTATCTTTGTTGTTCAGTCACTGCTGGTCACTTCGTTTTGATTGCAGCAACCTGGGCCATTTGCATCTCAAGCGTTCGGTCCTTAGCAGAGACACGCGGAGACCGATGCGGTTTTTCCTCGTGCAGAGCTCCGCGCAGCTCCTATGAATGTTCGACAGCGATTGAAGGCTCCGAGAAAACTTTCGGCATGCATAGCATCTTGCTTGCTCTTGAGCGGATCAATAGCATTCACGATTGCTCTTGGGTTCGTGCCCGCACACCGTGGGGCCGCACGGCCACACTACACACGAAGATGTTCTGGTAGAGCCTTGGCAGAGGGCGAGGAATTTCTAGACGAGGGCGAGGGTGAGAGAATATACACAGATGTCAACCCTGCAGATGTACAGGAAGAGGAGTACGCCTTCGATGACTCAGTTTTTGCAGAGGACAAGCCTGAAGACATCGGGCCTGTCCACTATTATGGGGTCACCGATGCTGATGGCGTAGCTATAGTTCCACGACCTGCCGTTGACCTCGATGCATTCACTGAGTCTGATCGATTGTTTCCCGGAGATGTGGTTGCAGCTCAGGTTCCAACCAACGGGAGTGCTGCTCGTTTGCTGGATGGGCGAGGTTGGCTTGAACTGAGTCAACTGGGCAACGGCCTTGAAGAGGTTCAACCCTGGGCGGCCAGGATCATGAAAAAGCCTGGAATTGCCAAAGCCGATGCAGAATCATTGGGGTATTTGTCTCTAGATGATTCCAAGCTCACACCTTTGGCTCAGCATTTGCCGCTGCCAAATCGTGTGCTTGCACAGCTTGACAAAAGAGGTGTCAAGAGGGCATCTCCAATACAAGAGGCTGTATTTTCAGACATCTACCGAGGCAAGAGCCTGTGTTTGCAAAGCCAAACTGGTACTGGAAAGACCTTGGCCATGGTGCTCCCTTTGCTGACTGCCATGTCTGAGGAATCACAGTGGGGCAGCGAAGGGGACAAAATTGTTGTCATCACTTCTTGTCGGGAACTGGCTGTGCAACTCTTTTCGGATATTGACTCCATGGGCTTTTTTCCAGCAGGCAAAGGGTATGCAACCATGGTGATCGTTGGAAATGTACCTCCATCCGAAGCTGTACTGAATGCCAATGTCATAATAGGCACTCCAAATGAACTGGGAGGATTGTTGCACAAGGACAACCAGATCGTGCAACAGATGACCACCAAGCTCCGAGGAATCCTCCTGGATGAGGTGGATGAATACACCACAGCACCTCGGCTTTTTGCTTCCAAGTGGGCGATTAAAAAGAAGAGAAGAATCTACAATGAAAAAAAGGCCGTCTTGTCGGGCCGGCTGGGTGATTTCAATACTGGAGTCATCGAATGGTTTTTGAAACGATCTTTGGCCTATTCTCGCCGGCGCGACCTGCAAGTTCTGGCCGCATCCGCCACCATGAACCGAGCAATGGCACGGAAGGTCCACCGCTTGCTTCGATGGGATCCACTTGGTCGATGGTATCAGGAGCCACCACCTTTGATGAGGCCCACGGCGATGATGAAAGCAGATTGGCAGGCAGTCCCTTTCATGCCAACAGTGCCCTTGGATATCCAGCACCGCTTTGTGCCGGTGGTAGAGGGCAAGAGCACTACTCACATCGATATGAAGCATTGGACACGAAAGCCATTTGCAAAAGGAGGCCTCCCCAGATTGAAGATCAGAGGCATTCGTCAACAGAGGGGTTGGGGACAGCGTCCAGTGGCCGTGGAGAAAGCACAAGCAATGCTGGATGGTTTGCATGATGCGTTGAGGTCACGTCCCAAAGGTTCCGGCTCCGCTTTGGTGATGATTTGCCGAAGCGTTGGTTTGACGGTTCGAAATGCTCTCCAGAACTTGCACCGCTGGGGCTTTCACGAGGCCGAAGCCATGCATGAGGCACTCTGGACTGATCCAACAGATTGGCCGAGTAAGTGGGCCATCAAGTACTCCTACAACCAGAAGGACAATGCTGTTCAGATCGCCCAGAGGCATCAAGAGCTCAACCAGCGGACCAAGAATGCACAACATTTGCCCTTTCCCGTTGGAGGCAGCGCGTGGAAAGCGATGGAAGCTCGAAAGAAGAAAGGCCAGTGCACGGCTCCAGTTCTCGTTTGCTTTGAAGGGCTAGGACGTGGGATTCACTTTGATGGTGTCGACACTGTCTACATTTTGGGCTTGCCACAAAGGCCCAAGGCCTATCTTCACTATGCCGGGAGGGTAGGCCGCCTTGGCCAAAAGGCTGGGAAAGTCGTGTCCATCCTCCCAATGGGAGGTGAGAAAGTTCTCCGGGCGTGGGAGAGCAAGATTGGTCCAGGAGTTCGGTTCGAGGAGGAACCAGTCCAGCGGATTCGGAGCAAGCAGGTCTTCAAGAAGAGCTCTTACAGCCTGCCACTTGAAACCCAAAGAAGCTTGCAGAGGCATAGGGAGGAGTTGAAGGAAGCTGAGAAAGAGCCCCTCTTGTTGCCCGAGCCTGTGGATCCATTCAAGTTACCTGGCATGGAAGAAGACGAGGAACCAGAGCCCGAACCTGTCCAAATTCCTGAGAAGATGAGGGAAGCCATGCGGAACCGAGGTTCCCGTTCCGATCAGACCGTGAAGCGAATCGCTCAAGAAATGCAGCGAGCAACTTCACGATGGCCAGGGCCAAGGAAGGTGAGCCGGTATGTCCCCAGGCTCGAGAGATGGAAACAAGAGAAGGCTGAAAAGGCCAAGGCCAAGGCCAAATCAAAGTGATTTGATGGCAAGTCGCAGGCTGAAGCGCATAGTTGTGTGGATTTGCAGGTCCACAAATCACAAAGTGCCGCAAGGTTTCACGGAGAAAAAGCCTTGCCGCATGCAATGCTGCTGCAATTGTTTAGCGCTATTGTTCGACGCTGTGAATTGGTGTTGGACATTGTTTTTGTTCAAGTTCTCACTCAAATAAGAAAGGCTCGTTTGAAATGTCGTGAAGTGTTTTATCTTGCACGGAGTTTTTGTTGATTGAATCTGGCGTGCGCAGCTGGTTCACTCTTCCTTAGGTTGTTGCAGTGATTTGTAGATGGCCTGTCATGCCGCTATGAGTCTATGAGAGTAAAGCAACGGAAACGAGGCAAGTGATATCTATCAACGTCCATACTGTTCATTTGTTGATACCTTTGATAAGCGTTTTTGAAGCTGCTAGCAAGACAACCACCTTTGACAGGCTGGGTGATCTTGGCTACAGCGTGGCTTGTCTCCAAGTTTGTCACGAAAGCTAGCCTTAGCTAGCTGGAGTTGCTCTTGCTTTAGCAAGTTAAGTGACGGGGTGGACGCACCTCAGAAACCTCAAATAATTGATTAAATCAATCTTATGGACCCCCCCCCCCCCGCGGTTCGACTCCCCCCTGCGCGCGGTGAGCGGGACCACCAAGCAGCTGCAGCACACCAAGCATCTGCAGCGCCCAGCGCAGCAGCGGCAGCAGCAGCAGCAGCATACCCAACGCCGCGGCAGCAGCAGCCGCAGCAGACCACCCAGCGCCAGCAGCAGCAGCAGCAGACGACCCGGCGCCTGCAGAGCACCCAGCGCAGCAGCGGCAGCAGCAGCACCAGCACCAGCAGCAGACCACCGGAAGCCCGGCTAGCTTTCGTTCACCCCCTCTGGCCTCAAGTTGCCTCGCCTTTAGTTGGCAGTTGATATTGGGGTTTCAACTTATTGGATCGAGAGTAGTCGAGAGCGTGTTGCAAACCACTTGGTGCATTTGTGCCTCCAAGGTGTGTGCCCATGCATAACTTTCTGTCCACAGAAACCTGGTCGGCGACATGGTGCACCTTGGCTTGCAAACGCCAAACAAGGACCACACGAAGGGAAGAACTTGAAGACATGCCGCGCCAAACTCACAGACATACGGCATGTTGTGCACACTCACAGGCAAACTTAAATTCGCGGACGTTTACTCATTGTACCCTGTTCCAATTGTTTTTCCGCAGGAAGGCCCATAAGGAATCAAGCAAGTCGAGGAGATGGGCTAGTTGGTGTCTCCAAAACTTTACGTGCCGACTTGAACTGCTATCGGCATTTCTGTTCCAATATGTGCTTGGTGACCTTCCTGTTGAATGATTTGTCATGGAGGAATCTACAGAATCAAATTGTGGCAACTCATGGCGTCAGAAAAGTGATGAAGAAAGAATGTCAAAAGAACAAAAGGTGTTAAGGGAAATGACAACTCATAGAGTCAGAACGCTTTGCGTTTCTCCAACCCGCGGGAAGCGCTGACAGATGAGGCACACGGCCGCCGTTGAATTCCTCTTTACACAACAAATGTACTTTGGTCACTTGCTGAAAACCTTTGTTTCACGTGTTTTGTTCAAATCTTACACCTCTTCTTTCAAAGAACTTTCCTTGTGCTCCGCTTCAATGATTCCCCACGACATGTCACATGTGACATGTCATGCTCCAGACGGGTCATCTACTGTAATGCCATCTAACGTCCAGTTTTGCTTCTTCATGCAGAAGAAGAAAGCGAAAGAAACAGAAGAAGGACAGACCTGTTAGTTTTCAGAAAGACAGAGGTCATCAGAGATACAATAAGTTCCTTTTGCGACAGGCTGCTCAGACTGGAGATGAAGAGAAGAACATCCAATCCATTTGAAGAGACGTTTCTTTGTGTTCATCCCTGCGTGTCCTCATTGTCCGATAGGTCTTTATTTTTATTTTTACTTCTTCGTTCCCCCAAAACTCCTGACAGGCTGATGCCTTGACTTTGGCGCGACGTCAGCTGACTTTGGCAACGTCAGCTGAAACTTGCTGCAGTACAACTGAACATGGCAGCGGAGGACTGGCAAAAAGCCAGGGGAACAGGAGATGAGCAGAAAATCAGGGAGGCGAAGGAGGAGGAGAAGGTCCAGGAAGCCAAGCAGGAGAAGGTCATTTTCCTGCACACCTCACTGTGTTCACACTTCTTCCGAAAGATGCAAGAACAAATCACGAAAGGTTGCCCTTTAGGGGATACCTTGAGTTTGTCTTGCGAAGCAAGTGTTGGGACGTCCGGGTCTAATAATTGATCGCTCAATTCAGACCCCCCCCCCCTCGAATTGATTTTTGCAATACAGACCCCTTCCCCCCGCCCCCTTGGAATTGATTTTTCAATACAGACCCTCCCCCCCCTCCCCCCTCTAAAATCATTTCTCTCCTGGAGAACGTCTTCGTGAGCCTCTCATGATTTCAGGATAGTTGAAACCCTCTTGAACATTCAGAAAGAGTGACGAAGAGTGAATATGAAATTCTAATCACGAAAGGTGTTCCCCGAGGGGATACATACCTAGAGTTTGTTTTGTGAAGCACGTCAATTCTCTCCTGGGGAGCGTCTTCGTGAGCCTCTTATGGTTTCCGGTAGTTCAAATCCTATGATGTTCCGATTCAATGCTCACCGATGATCTGAGCCATGGGGCAAGTTTGTTTTCCTAAGAATCTTTTTGAACATTTCGAGAGCATATGTTTGAACATTTAGAGTGCATATGAACATATATTTACGAAAGGTCGCCTCCGAGGGGATAAATCACCATGTCGAACATTGCATTTTTGTTCCTGCCTCTCGCGTTCTCTTCTCTTCCCGCTGTCCTACCTTTCGTGTCTCCCTCCTCTCAAGTTAAAGATACTTCACATATTTTCGCATTCTGATCAAAGGCTTCTGTTTCTTCACTCGCTTGGTCCATGGATACCCTGAGTACGCTTCCAAAAGATGAATGAAGCCCAGAGCACAAGCAAAGCGAACAAAGAGGATGGCAAACGTGATTGAAGCAGCCAAAAGAGTCAGTAACGCATCTCTCACTTCTGAAAGACTTCGCCATGCACATCCACCTTTCATAAGTAGTCACAAGTTTAAAGGGTATTCCACAAACAACAAGGTTATATAAGGGGGCTCGTTCTCTGTTTTCTCGAAGGCCATCTCACTCGAGACGTGTCAGGACTATGTGCTGTCGCGGCACGATCCGCTCGGCACCTCGGTCCGAGGATCGCGAAAAAAAAAATGGGAGGCCCAAAGGCAAGCAAGGATTGGTGGCAGAGCTGAAGCCAGTGATGCAACGTTTGGTGAACACCTCCTGGCCAAGGAAAGTCACGCTTTTTGCAGGAATCGCCTAGGCTCATCGAAGAGACAGGCGAGATGGAGAAGATCGAATTATATATCCGTTTGGCTCACCTTGGCCTTGGAGAACGGAGAGGCCTTTAGAAGATGTCATTGTGGCGCGGATGCCGTGGCAGCTACTTCAGCGATGGAGGGAGTTGGGATGGGCTGAGGCCAACTTGCCTGCATTCTCATTCGAGGACTTTTGCCAAGCCATGGGGGCCGGGAAAAACATGATGACATTTTGAGAGCCATGAGCACTTGATTTCTGTTGGCATTTCATGGGATGCAACAATTGCCGGGCTCACCCGAAGACAAGGGTTCGTTATTCAACGAGACCATGAGAAGGGTGTGCTCGCTGATGAATAGCAGAAACGGTCCTGCTATGGTGTAAGTCGGAATGACGATGGCTCTTGACAATCCCCAAGCACGACACTACGTCACCTTGCCATTGGTGGATGAGGTTTGCGGCAATGAATCAGCAGTGTTTAACTTCACAAAGTAGATGTTATAGAGCTTCTCGACATGGGAGATCAGGGTGCCTTGGAGGCTTTTGGAAGAGGCGGCCAGAGAATCTACGGAGACTGTCGACCTGGTCATGTCTGCAGTGCGCAACAACCCCATCCCGGGAGGCTGCATTGTTTGGTCCTTTAGTTGCCAGGCACTGAGCAGATTGGCGAGTATGCTCTGGCTGCAGTCGGTAACACTTGACAACCAAGAGCGGACACATCAGCGAATCCAACTCCTACATCTGGATCTACTCGTACCTCGGAGTGCTGTCGGGTCGTCGTTTCTTGGGCACATGGAGCTCCTGCCCTTCTTCGAGCTCTGAACCAAGTGGAGATCGTGAATTTGCCTTTGAAGCAAGCAATAAGCAAGATGAGACAAGCGAAGTGGAAAAAGCAACCAACCATGCTGGCAACGCAATCAATGTGAGCGAAAGGGACGGCGATGTTTTCTGACTTTGCCACCCTGTTGCCCAACCAGAGATTCATTTAAACATAGTCATTTTTTGAC